TAGTTAGGCATATTCCACAAACTCATTCATAATCTTATCTAGGCCAGTATCTAAGTCGTTAATGAAGATGTTGAACAGAGCCGATCCCAAAACAGACCCCTGCGGAACCCCACTTGTTATGCCTTTCCAGCAGGATTGGGAACCATTAATAACAACTCTCTGAGTATGGTTATCCAGCCAGTTATGCACCCACCTTATAGTAGCCCCATCTAAATTGTATTTGCCTAGTTTATCGATAAGAATATCATGCGAGACTGTATCAAATGCCTTACTAAAATCTATCACATCCACAGCTTCTCCCTTATCCACAAGACTCGTTATCCTATCAAAGAAAGCTATCAGATTGGTTTGACACGATTTGTTCTTTACAAATCCATGCTGGCTATTCCCTATCACCTTACCACCTTCCAAGTGTTTGCAGATGATTTCCTTAATTACTTGCTCCATTATCTTCCCTGGCACAGAAGTTAAACTAACTGGTCTGTAGTTTCCGGGGTTGTTTTTATTTCCCTTTTTATAGATGGGCACTATATTTGCCCTTTTCCAGTCTTCAGGAATCTCTCCCTTCTCCCATGATTTTCCAAAGATAATAGTTAGAGGCTCAGATACCTCCTCTATTAGCTCCTTGAGTATTCTAGGATGCATTTCATCAGGCCCTGGTGACTTGCAGGCGTCTAACTTTTCTAAGTGATTTTTATCACTTAGAAAATTGTATTATGCATATGAAGTATTCAGCTTTGTCTGGTTAAGGCCTAGATCATGCAAGTGGATCTACGTAGGTGGAACTTTATGCCTACACAAAATTGCATTGACTTCATTGGGATGGTGTGTGGGTCATATGGACCTGCCCACACAAATCCCATTGCAGGATTGGGACCTAAATCTGTAACTTAATCTATTGCTGTGTAGGATGTAGAAGGTATATAATAAAACACGGAGTGCAGTATTAGCTAGTTAATGTTGCTTTTGGAGCCTTTTTAATTTTTCATCTTTAATGTGATTCTACCTGTGAATTCTGCAGATTGCACTAGCATTGTTTTTTGTATTTGATTCTAAATCAGTTGTAGGAAAAAAGTTTATAATAGTTAAACTCAAGAGACTCAACATCAAAGGGAGTTTTCAACGTCCAGATAAAATAAAACCAGGTGTGACAAAAATATCATATTACCATAGTAAGTGTTATTAAAACCATTAAGGTACGTTTGAATCCTATGATCTGTTTATTTTCAAAGCTGACATTTGTAAACATATATAGGTAGAACTCTTGTAAATTTAAAACTGAGTGTTAGGACTTGCTCTTAAATCTGAAGCGCCATCATATTGCATTTTGCTGCATTTGTTATTCTGAGCTGGAGCCATCACATGTTAAGAACTGAATGGTATCTGTCTTGGTTAAATTATGAAATAATAATAATAATAATTAATTAATAACTAATAAAATATGCTAACATTTGCATTTGTAGAAAGTCAGCACAGATGTGCACGATAGCACAATTTGGTATTTATGCCTAAAATTTACTCTCTAATGCAATTCAATAATTATCAGAAGGATTATTCAGTATTTATCCCCGTTCCTAATTTTAACAATTTATTTTAAGTAGAACAACTGTATTTTCATCTTATTCCTTTGATGAACCTGGTGACAGTTTGAACTTGCAGCAGTCATAGACACAGTTGCTACTATTTCTAAGGAATCTATGAGCAGCTACATTATCATTTTTTATCTATGAAATTTCTTTCTGAAATGAACACCATACATATTTCTGAAATGAATGCCAAATGTATTTTCTAAAAGTGAGTGCCTTTGAAAGCTGAGGCAGCCAGTTTATACTGTGCATAATAATGATATTAATTTTTATGGTGTGTATAAGTTCCATTTTGATTAGTTTTTTGCATGATTAAAAATTTGCAAAGCCTTTATGGCCCCCAGGAGCCTACCTGTAATAAACAGCTCTCACCTTCCAAACCATAAAACAGGTCTGCAGTACTTGAACATTAGAGCTAATTGCCTTGCTACATCAAAGGGAGTACCAGAGGACTGAGAAAAATCACAGAAGGGAGGTGGGGTGGAGGGGGGGGGCAGTTTCACCTCTAAAGGTTATGTGTTTGTGGCTTGTGGAGCCCTGTAAAGTTATGGCCTCAGAACTGCTGTTTGCGATTAAGTTGATGGGGAAAGTCTATCCCGCAATCTCTCTCTGCTGCTGACACAGAGTCTTTGTTCACATTCAGATTTCTCAAACTGTTGCCAGGGTCAGGCTGAGGTCAGACACCACGATGATGTATAGGAGAACATGTCTGGGAATTTCTCTCACACTTAAAACACATACCAGAAAAACAGGAGAGCACCCTGCAAAAATTGTCTGATGAGACCCAGATGATACTGTAGCTTTTCTTTTAGTACCTTCATAATTTTCTCGCTCTTTTCCTGACACACACACAATGGTTTATTAATGTGTGCCACGATAGCCCGTACGATTTTATGTCCCCTCAAGATAAGGACACTCAGTAGCACTTTGACACTTCATTTTCCAGCCCAGGGGGAATGGGCCAGTAAATCTACTAAAAGAACCAATGCATTCATTCCCAAGGATGAGTCGAAAAGGAATTGCCATTGGCTGTTTTAGGCCATGGGGCCTGACACTGGATATGAGCTTCATGTGTGTGCACTTGGCATTAACACAGCCCAATCCAGTCATGATCACAGACTCACAGCATCCCAAACTGTGCTCCCCTGCCACCCTTACAAATACAGCCTCACTTCCAACTGTGACTAAGATGCCTACCACGTTTGATTAGTAATCATCACTGAGAGAGGAGGTGGGGGGAGGGAAGAGGCTAAAGCAGCAAGAAGTGTGTTTCCATTTTGATGGTAATTTTTATATATACATTTATTTTAAAAAGATGTGACTGCCTTTCTTTCAGCATTGTTTTAAAAAATGGACATTGATGTTGAGCCCTCTCATGTAGAAACACTGGCAAGTTCGTGCCAAACACATTGCTTTGATTTTTTTTTCTTTAATTCAAAGTTGCAGCTGAATTCTTTCTTTTCTAATTTACAAAAGGTTTTGTGTAGAGTTTTGAATCTGATAAGCACGCTACTGTCTTTCTTAGGGTTGTTTGCCTAGATGTACAGTTACAGTGCATGGCTGGCAAGTAAGGCACTAAGTAGCAATTTTTTTGTGCTCAGCTGCTACATATGACAGAGGATATTTCATTCTCTTGTCAGAAAGTTATTAATAAAACATGGGGTGCGGAGAGGGCCACTATTTCCCCTTTCAATCACTATAGCATTTACAATGAAAATTTTATGCAGTGTGTAATTTTCAGTTAATGCTTGACACTTAAAATGTCGGTAACTGCATTTTGTGTGGTTCCTGAAGGGTTAATTGTATCATGTTCTCTGCATAAAAGCTCTGCTTATCAAAAGTGAATAGAAGAGTGTATGCAAATGTGTGTCTGTGACCTTTTGCCTTTCCAGGGTTAATTTATATGGTCATTAAAGATTTTATGAAATTGAGCAGCCTGGTGCTTCAAATCCTATTTTACCTTCACCTCCTAATTTATATAATTCCTACCTAAACTGGGAAATATTATTATTATTTTTTTTTTTGTGCTGCAATGAAAACAGCATGCCGTGCTGTAGGGAGTTGCAAGTCTGGTTATCTGGCATTACTCAGATTGCTAAAAATTCATTAAAATGTGACATCAGCACAGTGAGAGACAAATGATCACAGAATGAAAAGGAACAGTGGGCCTTTCACGGATTAGTGCTACACAGCCCCAGCATAGAAGCTAACTGCATAAACAGATTAATCCACCGGTAGCAGCATAGCTAAGATTTACAGAATAATTAAATAGGGTTGAGTTACTGTGAAGATTTCCATGTAATCTAGCTTGTGTGAACACGTAAGTGAGGTGTGGGTAATACTGATTCCTTAAGAGCAATATACTAAGTTGTATCATTTACCCTGTATAGCTCCCCCTGGAGACAAAATCTGAGAGTTCTCCAACAAAGCCAAAGGTTTATACTTAATACAGTACTTACATACTACAATTAGCCAGATACTGCTACGCTAATAGGATTTATTTTTGAGTTTCTTTCTCTTTTTTTGGCTTTAAAATTCATTTTATATGTGAGGGTTTTTTTGTTCAATACTGTGTGTGTGTGTGTGTGTGTGTGTGTGTTTATACAAATCAGTTCTAGCCAATGGGAACCAAATGAGAAGCGTTAGATCTGTCATACTGGTGAACACTGTATGATCCGATAAAGTCATGTTTATAATTTCTGGATGGAATCTGAAATATTGCAAATTTTTCATAATTCATATAAAATCACTTGAAAGTGCCATTCTTTTTCTCCCCCTTCATTCTCCCCTCCCCTTTCCTTTGATTCTGTTCTTACTAAAGGCTGTGTTTTTAATTGATGTTAACTGGTCACTAAGTTAGCTCTTCTCTGTGCTTATCCACAGAAGAACAAGGTGAAGATACAGAAGGGTCTGCTAAAAGTACATCAGTGGCTGTTGCTGATGATAAAGACACAAGTGAGAGAGACACTAGTGAAGGCAAAAAAGCTAGTAAAGACTCTGGTAAGATGCTAGAATTTTGTCCTCCCCTTCCCCCCCCCCTTTTATCCTATTAAATGCTCTTTCATTTTAAACTGTCTGGACATTCCCACTACTATTCATTGCATGTGCATTTTGCATGTGATTTCTATCAGTAGCCTCCCATTGACCTATTTTTAATCATAACCATCTGACAGGATAGATGCGGATAAGTTGAAGAATATTACAGGACGACCAGTGAGATTATTTTTTAATCAAATCAGTTTGTGTGCTTGTAATTTTTTAAGCGCCTTTCATTAATCTTAGCTGTACTTGTGATTCCTCTGATGGCATATTAATTTTTCATAAGCATAGGATTAGATACCACTTGAATTCTTTTCTCTCTGCAATCAAATTTGGTCCCTCTTGTAACCCTAAGAATGTAGGGGGGGTTATTATTATTATTATTGTTGAAGTTGGGTTTTTGTTTTCATTCTTGCTGTCTGACCACTTACAGTCAAGAATCTGCCCTCTTCCTGGGCATTTATTTGAGGCATTTAGAGGAAAAAAAACCAAAATCCAGCAAAAAAGATTACAGATGATTCAGCCTAAGAAAGAGGAAATATCATTGAAAATGGATTATAAGTTAGGTAATTTTGATCTCCTGGAATAGACGAAGCCCAGTAATGAAAGCTACTGTCTTTGAAAACAAAACCCCTATGTCATGACATTTACTTGTGCATAAACAAACCCAGGGCCAGCATCTGGTGTAGATACCCAAGGCTTTTTCTGTATTTGATTTGGCAAATATGTGACTTCATCCATGTTTTTTATGTATGAGATGGAAATCTATGGTCGCAATGAATATTACATTGGCTACTTTTGCTGCACGCTATACCTAGTTACATTATGTTGGATTCATTGAAGCAGAAGAAATGCTGAAACAGGTTGAAGCCTATTAGTTTCAGGTATTCATATATCTTTTCCCTGTATCCCAATGACAGCAGCATATAGAGGAGCTTGTATTCTCCATAACGACATTTAGTTGTACAGAAAATATCATTTTACATGCACATTTACTTAAACCTGAATTAGCCCATATTTGTAATTCACTCTACATGTTAAAAATTTTGGATTTATTCAAAATATTTATTGATGGCCCTTTCTATATCAAATTAATTCAGAAGACTGCTTTAGGGATTAAAGCTTAGTTTAAGTTTTCTTGTTGACATGTTGAGGTCAATATCTGTTACAGTTTAGACCTCAGCTGCACTTCAGTTGTTTTATTTTTGAGATCAAGAGACTGCAAAAAGGCTGCTGATGACAAAGATGATGTTGAAGAAGAAACTATGTTGTGGTTTAAAATATATATCCCCCTTGGCTGGCTCTTTGACTTGGAAAGAGCTGTCTGCAGCACAGTAAAGCCATGCTCCTAAGCTGACCTGGGTCTTTTCCGCGTTGTCTAATCAGAGGGTCATCCTGGAAATGCTTCAAGGGAAAGGAGACAGCCACATGAAGCATACATTTCCTATCATTCGCTCTACTAGGGGGCACTGGAATCCACTTCAGAGGACTTATCTGCCCACTCTTTGTAAAGCAAACTCATTCATACTTGTGGAGGAAGGTATTAAAGGTCCAACGGCGAAAATGGACTCTGGAAGAAATAGTGTGGGGGAATTCTCAAGATTCCACTAGGATTAGTCTGTCATAAGAGCCAACTTTAATTGGGCAAACCTATGCCCAGATGCCTGCTGGGTGCAGTACAACAAAAATGGCATAATTGTGGTGCGTCCCAGCGTCAGTAATTACAAAGGTATCTCTGCAGTAAGAGCAGTATAAAAACAAATGTCCTCATGCTTTTCAGCGACCACAGAAAACAATTTATACTGTAAACTCTTAAACTGACCTTTTAAAAACTTTTGTTTAATTTTCTAAATTAATTCTGCTTATGTAGCACTCATGCCAGGGTCTTAATTCTCAACTCAGCTGACAAGTATTTCTAATGACTGAATAACTGCTTATATATAATTGAATGTTAATTTGGGCTTTCTCATGAATTGAGTGTTGAAAGTCTTGCCAAGAGAAATCTCAGGAAAACCAATAAATTAATCACAATCTTAACAAGTTAGACAGGAAAGCGGTGTGACCCCTCTTTAGCATGGAATCTATTAGAGGAGAAAGGATTAACATGTTATTTAGTAACAGTGTGTTTGTGTAAGATGTTGTGCTGTATTGCTTACCTTATCTCAAGGACTGGAGCTTTCAGAATGAGACTTGGCAATATGAAAGTGATATTTGTTGAATATTCATTCAGAACAGAAAAGCCTACTAATGCCTCATTTATATTGTCATTTAAATCTAGTGCCACTTTAGATTAATTATAATCCAAATTACAGCTCTATGCAATGCAAGAATTAATATGGAATTTATCCAGATTAATACATTTGCATTGAAAATATAATATGTCTCTGCCATGGCTAAGGGGAGCACTTTTTAATAAGGTAGTAAACATGAGGAAGGATGGAAATTAACCTTCATTATTGCAGTGAAAATTACTCTTTCATTCTACTCTAATTAGAATGCTGTACCGGTAATTTTAATTTTAGAATTATTTTGAAGTTGAGTAACATCATCTGATATATCACAAGTCTTAAGTTATGCAATCTTTATGAAATACATTGATTCATAAATAACAAACCAGTATTTTTGTTCATAGGTTTTTCAGAATTTTATTTCGTTAGGACACATGTTTTATTAGGCTTTCCCCACTTGTTATTAACATAAACCTTTTTATGACCCTTGTTTTTATTTTAGGGTTTTAGAATTATTAAGTAGGTGATTGCATTTGAATTGCAGTGAATTATGTCATTTTTGTACTAGCAATCTTATATGAATTAAATAATTCTGTAACTGACAGGTAATCATTGACTAGTCTATTTCATAGTGCTTATTTATAATTAAGCTTAGTTTTTGAGCTAAATGCATTGAAATTACATTATTCAACTAAACTAATGCTGTGTATTTTACATTATAAAATGAATTACGGCTGTGTTTCACAGTTAACCAGAAAACAACAAATAGCACGTCACTAGAACAAAAACTGTATATTTAAAACACATTTTTTTCTAAAATTGCATATTAAGAATACAATGCTAGTGGAATATCCAACTATACAAATGATCTAAAAGTTGCATACCTCAGGACCTTTAATACTGTTCAATTGCAATTTTTTAGTAATGCCAATTCTATAAGCCCATGTCTTTGCTCTGTCACTCCACAGGGAACTTGTCAAAATAGTGAATTCACTGGTGAAAGTACATAGTACATATCAGATGTTAGGGCACTTCACTGGTATCAGTTGAACTAAAAGGAGCTGAATCTCTAGTGCTTTGCCCTTTGCACAGTCATTTATACTTGTGAAAAGTGGGTGCATAGTATAAAACACTACTAATTTAACCTGGTAGTGTTTGCCACTCACTCTGCACAGGTGCAAATGACTACATAAGGGGCAAAGCAGTGGAGAATCAGGCCCTAGGTTTCTAATGCTTACCATAAAAATTTGAGACTGTTATTTTACTTGATGCCAGATGTAACTTTGGTCATTTAAAAAGCAACAACGTTTATGGTTGAATGAATCCAGATTCCCCCCCCCCTACCCCCAATTGCCTTGGTTAGCTTTAACATTTTATATAATTAGCATAGTAAACATAGTAAAGGGACTGTTCTTTGTTATGTATTTATTACCCCAAAATGCAGTGTTTTATAAGGATTGGTTTACATTAAACACAAAAGAAAATTTACAAAACCAATACTTGTAACTATAGAAACAAGAAATATGAGTTTTATGATTGTTATTGGTCCCTTGAAATAGTTATCATATCCAGTGGTAGAAAATGTTGCATAATGTAAACACACTACGCATTCTCTCTCTGTTGCTCACAGCTAAATTCCACCAACAGTTCGTACCAATATTAATCCACTTGCACCAATATAACTGGAAGCAGAGTTTGCCCACAAAATTCCTGTAACAAAGTGCAACATGAATATAACATGATATGGAGAAAATATGCCTTTTATTTATTTATTTGGGGATAAATAAATCCTCAGCAGGTGTAAATCAGCCATGCCATATAGTAATACCAATCTAAACCAGCTGAGAATCTGTCCATTATCTTTAAAATGGGACATTTTAAAGTGACATATGATGTAGATAAGAGACAGTAGTCAACTGTTAGACATTTTTGACAGTTGGAAATGAAGAGAGGTTAATAATTTGAACCTATCTTTCTAAGACTTGAAGAGTAACCTTTCTCTGTTAATAGAGTGTGTCACTTTTTTATTTCCCATAATTCTCATATTTAAGGTATTTAAATAATAATGCTGTACTCCCACATATATTCTGATAGTCTAGGGAGTATCGAAAACTAAACTGAGTAATATAATGATGGCTTATGTTGTTGTCATGTACATTATGCCTTTAGGCATCAAAGACCCAATCCTGCAGCCCTTAATCAAGCAAAACTCTTAAACCCAGCTCTTTAAAGTATATAGGCCTTGCTGCGCTCAGCATTGCAATGCCTAACTGATTTAGGAGGCAAAATCTCATTTTCAAAAGGGATTTAGGCCCTTAGGAACCTAAATTCCATTGACCATCAATACGATATTGGCTCCTCAATGCCTAAATACCTTTTGAAAATGAAACTTGGCCTCCTAAATCAGTTAGGCATTTCAATGCTGAGCACAGCAATGCCTACATACCTTTAAACAGCTGGGCCTTACTGACTAGCCTAAGTAAGGCCTAGAGGATTAGTGAACAGTGTGGAAATTTGATGGAGTTCCAGAAACTAAGCTTGTTGACAAATTAGTCATTAAAGGTAGGAAAATATTTCAGGAATAAACTTAAATTTTAGCAGCAATGTGTCGGAATTACTAGTCTAAATTACATGAAACTAAGTAATTACACTAGGAAACAAATACAAATGTAATGTGTGGGGAAGTGACCATTACTGTATATGTAATAAAATATATTTGTGTGTTTAAAAAAATGCCCTGAGGAAAATACCTCTGTATGATTCAGTATTCGACTATTTATTATTGTTTTCAGAGTCTGTTTGTTTTTTTTCTGTTTACCTTGAAAGCTGTCCTTTTATTTTACTTTTTCCCCCTAATGTTGCCTTGTTTATATCAAATATTATATTGCCTATGTCATGAGAGAAAAAAGTTCTTGTTTTTTTCCAGAGAAAAATACAAGCATTTTCTTTGTTCATCTTTACCTTGTTTCCATAACATCCATGATCTTATTTTTAAATTAAAACTAGGTTATTGTGCAATGAGGTGCAATTTGTTCATTTATATGAACCTTATGTGGATTGAAAAAAAATCAAGATAAATCTTCATGCACAGCATACAATCAGATTACCCCTGGACTATATATTTACGTTGGGTCTGATAGCAATCAATGGTTTAGCTTCATTGCATTTCAAGATGTATTTGCACCCAGTTGTCCAGTGATAGTGTCCTCACCCTGGAAATAATTTAGTTGCAAATTGACTGGAAGATGGTGAAAATTGAAAGTTAAAATTAGAAATACTCATAATAAACAGCAGAAAAAAGGTCAGATGATGCCGCACTATGATGAGATTGGAATGGTTGGTAAATGAGGTTTTGTGTTTGTCGTGAGATGTATGTGACATGCCTACCCAATGCTGTTGTAATATCCAGCCTAGCAAAAGAGATTATCTGGCAAATTGATGCTGGAAAGAATTTTCTGATGGACTGGGAAATTAGAATTGCACTCGTTTCTTTGATGTGTGCACGACTGGGCCACGTTATACAGCTAGTTCAGGCATAATATTAAATATAGTATTTAATACTTAGTAGTAGAACTATCTATAGAAAATAATTATATTCTTGGTTTTGATTACAATACCACATTATAGAACTTCATAATGTAAACCTTTAAAGCAACACAAAATGACTGATTTTTGCATATAATTAGTATTTAGTTAGCTCAAATCCTGTTTTCCGCAATGTGTGCATGGAGTTGTAGGTTTTGGGAGGTGTCTGGAGTTGAGGTTTTTTTGTTTATGGGTTTGGGGTTTTTTTGTATTTTTTAGAGGCTCACTATATTTAGTTTCAGGACTATAACCAAGGAGGGCTTATCAAAGCAGCACAATAATTTCACTGCCCAAACATTTTAGAAATGGTAGAAGGTAATTAAATGTTAGAAAATTAACTATTTTGGAAAACAAGGATTTCTGAGTGAAAGTTGATTTGATTTAATGTAATAGAGAAATTCAGACTGAGATGCTGAAGAGAGCATGTTATTGATTAATCTTTCAAGGCAACCAAAGGTTATCTAAACAAGAGAGAAGAGTCCATTTTAAAATTTATTTCTAGAGTCTGCATCAAGGATAAAAGCGTGTTTTCACTTATGTATTTGCTAGGTTTCAAATTGTTTTATTTAAATACATTTTTCTTTTATATTTAGCATAACCATGTGGGAGATTATAAGGCATCATAATCATAGCTCTTTGTATAGCATAACACTTCTAAGTTTAAAACATGTTTTTTAAACATTATGTTTTTGGAACAGGAATAATCACACCAGAGAAGGAGCCAAAAGTGAACACTGCGGTAGGGACACAACAGCTACTTCAGGCAAAAGAAGAGGATGGTGCATCTAAAAAATCAAAACCTCTTGAGGACAATAAATTTGGACATGAACAGGTAAAAGAAAATGAAACAATTCCATTGCCTCATAGAACTCTCTCAGGTAGCTCAAAAGTACGGTAAAACAGAGATGATATGCTATTGAAATAGCAATGCTATCGAGTCATTCAAAACACACTAATACGCTGCATCTTCATTTGCTGTTTTTCAGTTCTATCAATGTCCTTATTGTAACTACAGTAGTAGGGACCCAAATCGTATCCAGATGCATGTCCTGTCACAGCATTCAATGCAGCCCGTTATCTGCTGTCCCCTCTGCCAGGATGTCCTCAGCAACAAAATGCATCTCCAACTTCATTTGACCCATTTGCACAGTGTGTCTCCTGACTGTGTGGAGAAACTGCTTATGACCGTAAGTATTCAAAATACTGATACACATTTGACAGGAACATACTCAGACATGTAGACAATGAATTTGTTGTGACCTAGTATTCTGGTAGCCAGAGCTGGGGACCTAGAGTCAGGATTTTTGGATTCTGTTCCTAGCTCTGTGGCGTGAAGAAAAGCTCTGTGTAAACTCAAGAGCATGTCTCTCTTGCCAAAAGAAGTTGGTCAAATAAAAGATATTACCTCACCCACCTTGTAATTTATCAGTAATTTATGTCCCTAGGGCAAGTCACTGAAGCTAGATTTTCAAAGATGCTGAGACCCTGGAGTTTACATTTAAGTCAAATTTGAAAAATCAGGCCACTCACCTTTCTCTGCCTCAGTGCACATCTCTAAATTGGGTGTAATCATCCCACAAGGGCATTGTGAACATTAACTTATTGATTGTTTGTAAATTATAGGAGTTCACTGGGCAAAAAGTACTACTGCAAAGTATTACTTTTATCAGTGTTAATTGGTATTGTGAGATTTTCTGAACATATTTCATAACATATAATATTCAAATGAATTCCTTAAGTTCAACTAGAAATATAAAAACAACGTATACCATGATATACCAGGTCATTTTGGCACGTGTTATATGATATTAATAGTTGTTGGATCGCAGCTTTAACCAGAAAACAACCGTCCCCAGTTCTTTCGTCTGCTCTGGCCGTTTTTTGCCTCTTCTATGAGGAATGCTGCTCTAAAGCCCACAGATTCAGCCCCCTGAGGATTCCTCTTTCCACCGAGGGATTTCTTCACCCATAGAGCTAGTGTGGCAGCTTTACACCACCCTGCTCCTGATTCCTATGTGTGACCAGGGGGAAGGAGGCCTGGATGGAGAGCTCTGAGCCCTCTCCACATAGTACTAGGAGCTCAGCTCATCACCAGCTAGCCCTGGTTCTGTACTAAGTACAGTTCTGCCAAACCAGAATATTTGGCCCATCACATAGGAAATACTATGTAGGTTGGAAATGTAACTTTTGCATTTCTTAAATTTTTGTTTTATTTAATTTTGTGAATTTTAATTAGGTCAACTACATTGCTGTGTTTTTTAGCATTTAGGCTATGTGTACACTGCGCACCTTACAGTGGCACACGATACATGTGGGGAGCGGATTCCTCCCTCATCCCACAAAGTTCCAGGACCTTCATACCATATGCTTCTCTACTCAGATCCTGTGGAGGATGCTTTGTAGGTCCTCACTGGGGAGAGGACAGAGACAGGATGCAGTTGGGGGCCATAGTTAAGGATGCATATCATCTCCCTTCCAGATACATAGAGATTCCCAGGAAAAAAAGTATATAGCTACACCAAGGCAATGTGGCTTCAGTTAATTTAGGTGAATAGGATGGGGAAGGAGTGAGATCCTGCCTTTGCTGTTCCCGTAGGTTGGCTGAAGACCGGTTTCTGAAAAGCTAGGTTTAGAAGTCAGTAAAACATCTGTTTACACTGTCACACTGAAACTCTATTTTTTTTAAATAGAATCTTATAATGTTCAGTGCATCAGAAGAGGCTGAAGAAACTGTGAAGCAATCCTCTACTTGCAGGATTTATTTTTTTTTCTCCATATTAATAATTTTCTCCTGTCTTGATGTTGGTATAAGTTTAGGAGGGGGGTTGTTGTGTTTCTGGGTTTGGGGAGAGAATTTTAGTGGTGGGGATGCTATTGGAAAACTTAATCTTTCTCATATACATTGTCTCAGTAACCATCTAAGAGTAACAAGTCCTGTCCATATCTGATCTCCCTGATCACAAAGGAAATGGACGTTTGCTAAAAATCTCATCTATGGGATGTTTGCAATCTGTATTTTTCATTCCACCCTCACCTCACCACAACCAAAGGCATTCGTTTTCTGAGTGGACTCTGCCCATGCTAAATTTAAAATGTCAGATTTTAATCCCATTGGGTTATTTTTAATGTGGTTAGAATTATTTTTCTCAGTGGGAAATGTATATATTCTTTTCATTCTCATGTATCACAGTAATGGCTCAAAAGATATTTGGGCAAACGTTCCAAGCGCTTCGTTCTTGAGCAGACAGCAAACAGAAAATTCAGCTCCGATCTGTGTATTTATCTGGCCCTGATTCCCATAGTGTCAGAGCACCTCACAGTCTTTGATGTATGGGGTTAGGGGCTGTAATCCCATGAGAAACTGAGGCATGGAGAGACTGTCACTTGCCCAAGGTCACAGGCCTGTAATCCAGGACTGAATCAAGCCCTTGGGTTTTGCTGTGTGACAAGCTTTGAACCATGTGTGATGCACTGATAAACAGTGTGTTTTCTTCTTTGAATATAATATTGTGCCCTTGTTTTTTAAAGGTTCCTGTACCAGATATGATGATGCCCAATAGTATGCTATTACCCGCAGCTCCTTCAGAGAAATCCGAGCGTGACACACCTGCTACCATTACAGCAGAAGGATCTGGGAAATATTCAGGTATGCAAACAAAAGACCAGACAGGAAGAATCTAAATGAGTGATTCTTGGAGCAAACCACTTGATTCTTCTTGGTACACTACTAGTTTTTTGGTTACAAACATTAATAAGAGGTAACTGGAGAAAAATAGTAAGATGTCATCTAGGGCATGATTTTCAAAGATGGGCCTCTATAAATGCCACAGCTCAGCAATGAACTTGGCTCTTTGCACAGACACATATCTAGTTGGATGCACGTTGCCCATGTCATTGTACAAATACTTGACTTGAGCTAGTATACACCTGTGGTCATTTTTATGTAGAAATTAGGCATGCAGCTGTATGTGGCCATTTTGAAAATAAGCCCCTTGCTATTTTAAAAATATATAGGACATGATCTAAAAGATAATGAGCCATCTGTCACTCGCACTAGAGCCAATGGAATGTCAGATGAGTGGGTCCTTAGGATCAAGCCCATATTTTAATTTTCACTCCAGACACTTTCCCCCCTGTGCTAATAGGCTGTCTGCTTCAAGCCCCCGCTCAGTCTTTTCACCTAATCCCTCCCCCCTTAATACCTTCTTCTCTCCATGCCCTGTCCCTCTCAGCATCCCTTCTATCTGCTTTCTCCTCCCCTCCATCTCTATGTTTAGCTAACTGAACCCATCCTAAGAATTAACAAAAAATATTGTGGCACTAACATTCTGTTTGTCACCATCACACTGATCACTCTGCTTGTGTGTTTGTCCCTTTCCCTACTCTTTATCTCTCTCTTTTATTTGTTTGTTAACAATTTGGGGCAGGGACTGTCTATGTTTGTACCTTGCACAGTCGGAGACCATTTTTGGTTGGTCCTTAGGCACTACTGTGATAAGTGTGATAAATAATAATATTGCCTATGCTCAAATGTTACATGTCTAAAAGATATTTCTTTGTCTTCCTTAATCAGGTGACAGTCTGATGGATGAGAAAAATACTCCTGGGCTTGATGAAGCAAAAACTGGAATGGAAATTAAGACTGAGGAACAGAAGCCACCTAAGGAATGTACTGAAATGCCAGAATGGAATAAGAGCAGCAGTAAGGATACAAAGATCACCGAATCACTGCCGGATCAATTGAACGAACAGCAGAAGAAGCAGCAACTATCTGTTTCTGATCGCCATGTCTATAAATATCGTTGTAACCATTGTAGCTTGGCTTTTAAGACTATGCAGAAGCTTCAGATACATTCCCAGTATCATGCTATTCGGGCTGCTACCATGTGTAGCCTTTGTCAACGTAGCTTCCGTACATTCCAGGCTTTAAAAAAACACTTGGAAGCAGGCCACCCTGAACTCAATGAAGCTGAAATTCAGCAGCTGTATGCATCATTACCTGTAAATGGTGAACTCTGGGCAGAAAGTGAAAGTATGGCACAAGATGATCATGCACTAGAACAGGAAATAGAACGAGATTATGAGATGGACCAGGAAGGTAAAGCAAGTCCTGTAGGAAGTGATAGTAGCTCTATTCCAGATGACATAGGCTCAGAACCAAAGCGGACCTTACCTTTTAGAAAAGGGCCAAATTTTACTATGGAAAAATTTCTAGATCCATCTCGCCCATATAAATGTACAGTGTGTAAAGAATCTTTCACTCAAAAGAACATTCTCTTGGTCCATTATAATTCAGTGTCTCATTTACATAAACTCAAAAAGGTTTTGCAGGAAGCATCAAGTCCTGTCCCTCAAGAAAGCAACAGCAGCACTGATAACAAACCCTACAAATGCAGCATTTGTAATGTTGCATATAGCCAAAGTTCTACGTTGGAAATCCATATGAGATCTGTGCTTCATCAGACTAAGGCAAGGGCTGCAAAATTAGAACCAAGTGGTAATATAACTAGTGGAAATAGTGTAGCAGGGAATGTTAATAGCCCTAGCCAAGGGATGCTAGATTCTATGAGCTTACCAGCAGTTAACAGCAAAGATACCCACTTAGATGCCAAAGAATTAAATAAAAAGCAAGCTTCTGAATTAATGTCTGCTCAGCCTACACATCATCCATCCCAGTCACCAGCACAACTTCAAATGCAATTACAACATGAACTGCAACAGCAAGCTGCATTCTTTCAGCCCCAGTTTCTAAACCCTGCATTTTTGCCTCACTTTCCCATGACACCAGAAGCATTGCTGCAATTTCAACAGCCTCAATTCCTTTTTCCATTCTACATACCTGGGACAGAATTTAGCCTGAGCCCAGACCTGTGTTTGCCTAGTTCTGCCACATTTGGTATGCCTGGAATGGCAGGGATGGCAGGATCACTGCTAGAAGATTTAAAGCAGCAGATACAAACTCAACACCATGTTGGACAAACGCAACTACAAATCTTACAGCAACAAGCACAACAGTATCAATCAACACAACCCCAAATTCAGTCACAAAAACAGCATCAGCAAAGTAGCAAACTAATGAAACAGGAGCAAAATAGTCTAGTAAGTGCAGACTGCCAGCTGATAAAGGATATGCCATCATATAAAGAATCAGAAGAGATTTCTGAGAAACAAGAAAAGCCAAAGCAAGAACTGACAAATGAAAGTGAAGGACTAAAGGAGAACAAAGATATGAAGAAGCAGAAATCCTCAGAACCAACCATTCCACCACCTAGAATAGCTTCTGGGGCTAGAGGAAACGCAGCCAAAGCTTTGCTGGAGAATTTTGGCTTTGAGCTAGTTATTCAGTATAATGAAAACAGACAAAAAGTACAGAAAAAAAGTAAGACCAGTGAAGGTGAAAACACTGACAAACTGGAATGTGGAACATGTAGTAAACTATTTTCTAACATTCTTATTTTGAAGAGTCATCAAGAGCACGTGCACGGTCAGTTTTTTCCTTATGGAGCACTAGAGAAATTTGCCCGTCAATACAGGGAGGCTTATGACAAGCTCTATCCAATTTCACCATCCTCTCCAGAAACACCGCCACCACCACCACCTCCCCCGCCTCCTCCCCCGCCCCTGCCTCCAACTCCTTCACAGCCTTCTTCGGCCAGCTGTGGAAAAATTCAAAATACAACTCCCACTCCTTTGCAAGCTCCTCCACCTACCCCACCACCGCCGCCTCCACCCCCGCCACTCCCTCCGCCCCCTCCGCCACCTTCTTCAGCTCCACCTCAGGTCCAGCTGCCTGTTTCATTAGATCTTCCACTTTTCCCTCCAATTATGATGCAGCCAGTGCAACATCCTGCGTTGCCTCCTCAGCTTGCCCTCCAACTACCACCCATGGATACTTTGTCTGCAGATCTTACTCAGCTTTGTCAGCAGCAGCTAGGATTAGATCCCAACTTCCTACGACATTCCCAGTTCAAGCGTCCACGTACAAGAATCACAGATGATCAGTTAAAAATCTTGCGGGCTTATTTTGATATTAACAATTCTCCAAGTGAAGAACAGATTCAAGAAATGGCTGAGAAATCTGGCCTTTCCCAAAAAGTTATCAAACACTGGTTTCGTAATACACTTTTTAAGGAACGACAAAGAAATAAAGATTCCCCATACAACTTTAGTAATCCTCCCATAACTGTCTTGGAAGATATCAGAATTGATCCTCAACCCACTTCTTTAGAGCATTACAAATCTGATGCATCTTTCAGCAAGAGATCATCTAGAACAAGGTTTACTGACTACCAGCTTAGGGTCTTACAAGATTTTTTTGACACAAATGCTTATCCAAAGGATGATGAAATTGAACAACTTTCAACTGTACTTAACCTACCTACTCGAGTTATTGTTGTATGGTTCCAAAATGCACGACAGAAAGCTCGCAAAAGTTATGAAAATCAAGCAGAAACTAAAGATAATGAAAAAAGGGAACTCACTAATGAGCGCTATATTCGAACTAGCAACATGCAATATCAATGTAAAAAGTGCAACGTAGTTTTTCCCAGAATTTTTGATTTGATTACACACCAGAAAAAACAGTGTTACAAAGATGAAGATGATGATGCTCAAGATGAAAGCCAAACAGAAGATTCCATGGATGCCACAGATCAAATGCTATATAAAAGTTTCACAGTTTCTGGCCAAACAGACTCATCAAAAAGTACAACTGCGACAGCTGCAAGCTCTGGTTCTGGTTCTAGTACTCCTTTATTGCCATCACCCAGACCAGAGCCTGAGAAGAGTTCTCCTAAACCTGAGGCAACAGAAAAGCCAAAGCAAAATGACATCACCCCTAAGCAAATTGATACCACCTCACAAGTCACCAAACCAGTACAGTCTGCACCAATAACTTCCTCTGATCCACAGCCCTCAGTCTCTCAGCCACAACAGCAAAAACAATCACAGATGGTAGGACGACCTCCTTCTGCATCACAAACCACACCAGTTCCTTCCAGTCCTATGTCAATTTCAGTGACTTCTCTACAGAACAGTCTACCTCCTCAGTTACTACAATACCAATGTGACCAGTGTACAGTTGCCTTTCCAACTCTAGAACTTTGGCAAGAGCACCAGCACATGCATTTCCTAGCAGCCCAAAACCAATTTCTTCACTCTCAGTTTTTAGAAAGACCCATGGATATGCCCTATATGATATTTGACCCCAATAATCCTCTGATGACTGGACAATTGCTTAATAGTTCTCTTGCTCAGATGCCCCAGCAGACAAGCTCATCACATACATCCCACCCTGCTACAGTTTCTGGCTCACTTAAACGAAAACTGGATGATAAAGAAGATAATAATTGTAGTGAAAAGGAGGGAGGAAACAGTGGTGAAGACCAACATCGTGATAAGCGCTTGAGAACTACCATTACTCCAGAGCAGCTGGAAATACTCTATGAAAAATACCTATTAGATTCTAATCCTACCAGAAAGATGCTAGATCATATTGCACGTGAAGTAGGACTTAAAAAGAGAGTAGTACAAGTCTGGTTTCAGAACACACGAGCCCGAGAAAGAAAAGGACAGTTCCGTGCAGTAGGTCCAGCCCAGTCACATAAAAGATGTCCTTTTTGTCGAGCACTGTTTAAAGCAAAGTCAGCTTTGGAAAGTCACATTCGCTCTCGGCACTGGAATGAAGGAAAACAGGCAGGTTATAGTTTGCCTCCAAGTCCGTTAATATCAACTGAAGATGGAGGAGAAAGTCCACAAAAATATATATTTTTTGATTATCCGTCACTATCGTTAACAAAGATTGATCTATCAAGTGAAAATGAATTAGCCTCCACAGTGTCAACCCCTGTTAGTAAAACTGCAGAGATGTCCCCAAAGAATCTTTTAAGCCCTTCTTCTTTCAAAGCGGAGTGCAGTGAGGATATAGAACATCTGAATGCCCCTCCTGCTGACTCTGGGTATGATCAAAATAAGACTGACTTTGATGAGACTTCATCAATTAATACAGCGATTAGTGATGCCACAACAGGAGATGAGGGAAACAATGAAATGGAAAACATGACTGGTAGTTCAGGGGATGTGAAACCTGTATCATCTCCCAAAGAGCCAAAAACACTTGTGAATGATTCTTTTTCAAAAACAGCAACCACACCTACAATTGAGAATTGTGATGAAAAGTTTCTCTTCTCCCTTACTAGCCCATCGGTACATTTCAGTGACAAAGATGGTGATCAGGACCAAAGTTATTACATTACTGATGATGCTGACGATAATGCCGATCGCAGTGAAACATCAAGCATTGCAGATCCAAGTTCGCCCAATCCATTTGGAGCTAACAACCCCTTTAAATCCAAAAATAGTGATCGACCAGGTCACAAACGTTTTCGAACACAAATGAGTAACCTCCAACTTAAAGTCCTCAAGGCTTGCTTTAGTGACTATCGAACTCCAACCATGCAAGAATGTGAAATGCTAGGGAATGAGATTGGTTTGCCCAAACGGGTGGTCCAGGTTTGGTTCCAGAATGCCCGGGCAAAAGAAAAGAAATTCAAAATTAACATAGGGAAGCCATTCATGATAAATCAGACTGGACCTGATGGGACAAAGCCAGAATGTTCTCTATGTGGGGTGAAGTATTCTGCACGTTTATCTATAAGAGATCATATCTTTTCCAAACAACATATTTCAAAAGTGAGAGAAACTGTAGGAAGTCAGCTAGATCGGGAGAAAGATTATTTAGCTCCCACAACTGTTAGACAGCTGATGGCACAGCAGGAATTGGATCGTATAAAGAAGGCTACAGATGTACTAGGCTTAACAGTACAGCAGCCAGGCATGATGGACAGCAGTTCACTTCATGGTATCAGTTTGCCAGCAGCTTACCCAGGACTCCCTGGCCTTCCTCCTGTTCTTCTGCCTGGAATGAATGGTCCATCCTCCTTGCCTGGATTTCCACAAAGTTCAAACAGTAAGTCAGTAAGGGGATGAATTGTTTATTTGATTAATTTTAATGATATTGTGTAGTTATCGACCACCTGTGAAGAACAGCATACTGTGCATTCATATCCTATTCCTATCACTTCTCTGTGTGCATCAAAGTACTGCTATTGACTACATTCAGCCCGTTATTGGATTGTTTCAGTAGGTAATTGGTAATATCACTGGTTCTCCCAAAACTGAAATTCAGTTGAAGAATTAAATTGAAATCCAACTTCCAGAAGTACTTTTTATTAAATTGTGTAACTATCTGTATAGTGCACTCTAGTGTGTTGTGCACTAACTGGCCCATGTGGACCCTGCTGGCATGCGGTAAAAGTTCCCTAGTGCACGTTAATGTAGTACTGTTTGAAACGGGATTACATTAATGTGCACTAGGAAACTTTTAGTACACACCAGCAGGGTCCACATGGGCCAGTTAGTGCACAACACACTAGTGCCCACTACAAATTACACTCCACTAGTGCGGACTAATACATTGTGTAGACGAGCCCTTAGGCAGCCTTGACTGCAATAACATTTTATCTAATATTATTGTTCTAGTTATTTTGAGTTGAGATTTCTTTACACAAAGTGTAGATTAACATTTTATATTTAATGGCTTGAAAAAATGAAACTGAACAAATCAGCCTATGAAACACAGAGTAGAATTTGCACCAAAACCTGCCTTAAACAACCACCCAATAGATTCATCAAAATCTGTTGCCTAATTCAGAAGGTGTTTAACTAGACGTGAAACGGATTTTTACTGGAGGCAGTTCTTATTGACTATTTCATTGAGGCCCAAATCCTGAGAGGTGCTGAGCATCTGCAACCCCCTGCGTTTTGTATGGGCGCTACACATGCTCATCATGCCATTCGGGCTTGTGTATGTAACTGAGCATCTGCTGTGATTTAGACAGAGTGCTGCGGTTGACTCTTCACATCATTTTGCTTCCATTACTCTTACTGAGAAGCGCTTACTCGTGCAGAGTTTCACTAAGGCTACAGAATTAGGCTTTCTGTATAGAAATTTGTTTAACCCTGACAGAAGGAACCTGATTTTTTTTAAATGGTTTCCAGGGTTGTAGGCAGAGTTCACTGTAGGTGCAACATTGCGGATGCAAATTCTAATTTTCAATTTCTACCTACCTGATTGCACAGGCAAATCAAGTAATTAGACATCAAAATTAGTGGGTGGGGGAAGGCCCCTTCACGTAAGTGGGGGAAGGCCCAGTGACTCCATTTGTGTTGCCTTAGGTTGTTAAATTTTGATTTATGTAAACAACTTACTTTGCCACGAGGGCTACTGATTCAATCACCAATATGGTCAGTCAGACTAGAGCTGTAGCAGTAGCTCCTGTTCTATACAGTTCTGTTTTGATTGATGATGACCATGTCATTGCTTCCCTAAGTGGTGGTCAAAGCATCTTGTTTTTCTATTCATTGGGTCAGAGGGGCTTTCCTTCCACAATGGATTCTCTGGCTGAGTGCCCTTCTGTTTTTGTCAAATAGTTATTGGCACACAGAGTGCATATAAAACAAATAGGAAGTAGTTTTGAAATACTGTAATATATTCATTTAGTCTCCTCTTAATTGTATATAATGTATATGTCCAAAAGTGGCTAATCTCTGTTTATAGAAATCAGGGATATAATATAATTTGTCTACATAACTTAGCTAAATGGCCTTAGTCAACCTCATCTTCAAATATAGTAAACCCCAGGAAACTCACATAGCTCTCCAAATTATTCCCTTATTAATGTACAGACGAAACATTTGGTAATACAGACCAGCTGGTCTATGATAATTGAATTATCAGATTGTCTAATTTCCACACTACATCTTTTATTTGAGATACATTTAAATCATTAATACAGTAACATACTCAGTGAATCACCAATTGAGATGGATTCTCAGCCCCTTTCATCTCACATCTTTTTAGGTTAATCGGTTCATTATGGTCTAACTCCACGGTGTAAATTGGCTAATAGAGTTTTGTCATTAGGTTTTTCTTCAACCATATGTTAAGTAGCCCCTGCATCCCTTTTTTGTTGCCCAGTAAATATGTGCATAGATAAATCTTCATTCCCTAATGGTACATAATAGAGTAGTAGTCACAGTGAAAATAAAAATAGATTAGTTTAATCATTCATTACTGAAAAGTACTCATTATCCTTAAAAGTTCTCTAATATGTGTTCAACACTGCTATTCTCCACACCTAATTAACCCACTTTTAACATCTCCTCTGCTGTGCTTTGGGTGACAGTTCACATCCATATTTGATGCCGGGAAAAGTTTAAGCATAACCTTCTTGGAGTCTGCCTCTGAGCAGACTCTTCACTGCTTCTAACTCTTCATCTTCTAACTTTTTCTGCATTCACAGCCATCAGAATACCACTTCTGCCTTACTAACTGTGTGAGGGATTTCCTGAAGTCTGCTCCCAAGGGGTTACCAACCTGTTCCTCAATTATTGTACATGCTCTGAATTTCAGATTTTATTATTTTTTGCTTGTGTGTCATTTCCTCTTCCTGGTCCCGATCTGCTAACACATACACACAAGCTGTCCCATTGATTTAATGGGATTGCTTATGTGAATAGTTGCTCACGTGCATAAATGTTTATGGGGTTGACACATGTTTTCAGCAGCAAAGGCCAGTCTGTTTTGTGATCTTAAAGGGACAATGTCAACATAAAAAAATGCATATTTTTATAGAATGTCATTGCTGTCATTACTAAGACACTACATTAGTGAAACTATAATAATTAAAATGGAATTTTCCTTTTGTCTTCATTTGTCTATCACTTTTTTCATTGTACTCATTCTGGAAAGTGAAACTAACCTGATCAGCTTCACTTGGCTTATAATCAATTTCACTTTCAGGTTCTTGTGCCCAACACTGTTTTATTTGGGTTTCAAAACTGCATGGAAGTTATTAACTTCCCTCAAAATGCTTTTAAATAAATTTTTAAACATGCAACATTTCCTGTACCATCAGGCAGGGAAAAATAATATTTTCCTAAATTATGGAACATCTAAATTTTGAGCCTAAACTACTTGAAATTGGTCCTATTAATTTCATTAAACACAGTGCTGTAACTGGACCTTTACTGGCAAAGATTACTTCACTTGGAAGAATATATTAACTCCCTTTCTGGATAGACAGATCAAGCAAATTTAGACATATTCAGGTGTATATGAGCACAGTTATTTTCTCAGTGTCAGAAAGATTGTCTGGTTCTATGATATCATTCCCAGAAAACATCTCCCCGTAGGACGAACTTCTTGAAATGAGAAATACCATCTTATGATTGATCTATTAAATTAAATACACCACCTTAGAGACATTAAATGCTGTATAATTTTTCAGCATTATTATTATGATTGTTCAGCGTATATATGGTCATTTTCAGGAGGTTCCACTTCCTAGGGTATACTTCAAGTCTGGCTTATTTCCACTCTTCAGCCTCACTCCTATTTTACAGTATGCTGCAGATGGAAGAGCTTTCTGCTGGGAAGTTTCATTTATAGTTTTTCATCCTCTGCTAACAAACTTAATATTCTCTGTTCTTCTTAATTTGTGTTTTTCCCCTATCAGAACACTCGAGCTTCAACGTGCTTCTACAATGAATACTGGATCTTCAAGTCATGATCATTAGAGTCTGAGCTCATCACTTAAGACTGAAGCTGTCTTTAAGATTCACATCATGCTTTTTATGCTTTTTCCAAGAATGTGCACATCACTGGGTAATGTGCACTTCAGTCATTTCTGAAGTCTTATCAAGAGAGAAATACGATTTAGCACCCCTTATTTTTCTCATGACTAGGGCCCTAAATCATGTTCTTTATTCTTCTTTGAACCCTTGTTTCCTTTTTCGTTTATCTTGTTTGTGTTTATCTGTCTCAGATTCCTCTGAAAGAGACCTCAAGTTTGCCATAAAACCACTTAAAACAGCCACTTAAAAGAGACACGTGGCAGAGATAAAACATTTCTTTATAATTAGTGAATTTTCCAGTCTGTTTCCTTCATGTCACTTATGGGAGAATGAGATTCATCAGGACTTCTGTACTGAGTTTTAGGTACCCTCAATCCACACTTCCCTGTAACAAACCCATTACTCCTATTCTTTGCTGCAATGTTCTCAGATGTTTAGTTGATTTTTGTACATTTCAACTAAATTCCAAAGAATATAATGGGAAAATAAAATAGATGGATGGGTGAGGTAGCATCATTGTGAGTATATTGAGGGCAAGAGGATGAGTGGGGCTGAAAGAGAAGAGGAAGGCAAAGGAATTGTAAAAACCCTCAATAGCTATTGAGCCCAAAGTAGTATGATTCAAAAACAGCAGACAAAGCTGGGGTAGCAATTCACATTGATAACATCATCCATGCCTTTTTCCTGTAAGGTGGTTGCCATCAAATAAATTTTCAACAGACACTACAAAGCTTCCACAGTTATTTCCTACTGAAAGTATAGGGTGAAGCAACAGTATCAGATACCACTGTACGGTAACTGCAGCAATTACTGACTCTTTAATGATGACCATTGTGACTTGTTTCCCTATACTATCTAATCCCTGCTAACAATACATTTTAACTCCTTAGCGTTGCCCTCACCATTAAATAGCAGTAATGATATTGTGGCTACCATTAAATGGTCTCTTTGTTAAATCTGATAATCATCCCCCCTGAATTCTAATTGCTTTATTCCTAAGTAATGCTAAGCACCTGGATATTGATGATTTAAACTTCATTCTTGCCCACTAGATTAGTGCTTCCATGTAGCTAATACCCATCTAACCTCCATTATAGAGCCTGCAATATTGTTCTCTTATCCATGCACACATAGGCTTTTCCTGGGGGCTGCTTTACTCCTACTGTCCTTTTGAACATTAGGCTTTCTGTGTGCTCATTTCTCTACCAAGTTTATTTGTCTCTGAAAACAGACTTGGCCACAATGTACAGCCTTTTACAATTCCCTTTTCTATCCTGTGCCATCATTTAGTTTCCTGGCCAACTATACCTCTTTAAATTGCTTTAAAATAGACTGTTACCAGCCACTTACACTATATTTGGTACTTGAAACATAGCAAAGATTTCTTCCATTAATATATGAGAGACACTTGTACCATGCATGCATCCTCCAAACAAAACCAACGCACACTTAGGTTTCCTTCTCTAATGAGTTGGAAATCATGCCTGCATGTTTCAAGTAAACTGAGAACAACAGCATTCCTGTGTAGATGTACTTTAATACTAATACACTTATCTCCCAGCAAATGCTGTGTTGACTGGATTGTCATGATGGTAGAGAATAGCTTTGCCTGTACACTCAAAAATGAAAATGTGAACTGTGCTGTGTCCTAATAATGAATAGCATTGCTTTCCTTGCTATTTTTGTCAGTGTCTTGGATGGTCATTTGCCGTTGATAACAATACCTTTCTTTATTTGGTATTGTTATATTTTCCCACTTCAGTTTGGGAAATTTCATTTTTTTTGTAGTGAGCTCCATCGTTACTAGATTTCTCAGGTGAAGAACGAGTGGGTATATCATCAGTGAGGTTAAAATGAATAACAAAGTAGAGATCTGACAAAGTATCAGTTAGTGGGAACATTCGCACTGTGCTTGGTGCTTCTTTTCTAATCATTTGCTGTGGAGCATACTGAAGGAAATCACATTCACCCAGGAATATTAGCATTATACCTATAAGTATGATCCTGACCCTGCCAACGGATCCACGTTGCATTCCCACAAAAATCTATATACAAGCAAGGCTTCATGCACACAGACATGATGGCAGGATCAGGGCCATAATTTGTATGTTTTCAAGCAATATAACATTATAATGAATGAAATTTTATACAAGTAAATATACGGTTTATTAATGCAGGAGATAATTCCAGTTTTTAAACCATTAAATTAATAATGTATGGTTTCATTCTTATTGCCTCAATGGTGTTTTCTTTTTTTCAAATGATGACCTTTCCATGACCAGGATTGTATAATCAACAGTCTTTTCAGGTGTTAAACATAACAAGCATTAACTTGCCTTGTGGATTGATGATGGTCATATTTCTGTTGTTGTTTTCAGCTTTAACATCTCCTGGTGCAGGCATGCTTGGGTTTCCTACTTCAGCTACTTCGTCTCCTGCGCTGTCTCTCAGCAGTGCCCCCTCCAAATCTTTGCTGCAGACTCCACCACCTCCACCACCACCTCCTCCTCCTCCTCCTCCTCCATCCTCTTTGTCAGGACAGCAGACAGAGCAACAGAACAAAGAATCTGAGAAAAAAAATAGTAGTAATAAACCAAACAAGGTCAAAAAAATCAAAGAGGAGGAATTAGAGGCCAACAAACCTGAAAAACATATGAAAAAAGAGGAAAAAATCTCATCTGCTCTTTCAGTGTTGGGCAAAGTTGTAGGAGAAACGCATGTGGACCCTACTCAGTTGCAGGCACTTCAAAATGCAATTGCTGGTGACCCAGCTTCATTTATAGGTGGGCAGTTCTTGCCATATTTTATTCCTGGGTTTGCTTCATATTTTACACATCAGCTCCCTGGAACAGTGCAAGGAGGGTACCTCCCACCAGTATGTGGTATGGAGAGCCTTTTCCCCTATGGGCCAGCGGTGCCTCAAACAATTGCTGGCTTATCACCTGGCACACTGTTACAGCAGTATCAGCAGTATCAGCAGAACCTTCAGGATTCTTTGCAAAAGCAACAAAAGCAACAGCAAGAACAGCAACAGAAACAAATTCAAGCTAAATCATCTAAAGCAGAGAATGACCAACCACAAAACTCCAGTGATGTTTCTGAACCAAAAGAAGACAGAAGTTCTGCTACTGAAAGCACAAAAGAAGAACCCCAATTAGATTCAAAAAGTGCAGACTTTTCAGACACTTACATTGTTCCATTTGTCAAGTACGAGTTCATATGCAGAAAGTGCCAGATGATGTTTACTGATGAAGATGCAGCAGTAAATCATCAAAAGTCCTTCTGTTACTTCGGTCAGCCTTTGATTGACCCACAAGAGACAGTGCTTCGTGTCCCAGTCAGCAAATATCAGTGTCTTGCCTGTGATGTGGCTATCAGTGGAAATGAAGCACTTAGCCAACACCTCCAGTCCAAG